TCCCAAAATTTATACAAAGCGAGGTTCAGAATTTGAGAATAACTTTGAATTCTCAAAGTCCAATTTTTGTCTAACTCCCTGATTTAGTAGAAATTTGGGCAGCACTTCCTCTCGAAAATGAGACTTTCCAGATTTCTACTAAGCCATATATGGAAAAAACAAGTTAAACTCTGACAAGTCAAAAGTTAACTAACTTCTTGGATTTGTAGAAATTTTGGCAGCGCTTCCCGTAGGAAAAGTAACTTGCCAAGATTTATACAAAGCCAAGTATAAGAAAAGATCTCAGAAAATGCAGGAATTGACCTAAGTAAAAAAAGTTATTAGAGAAAATGCAGGAATTGACACTAACTCCTAAGGCTCTAGCACGTGGCGAGCAACTAAAGCAACTACCTATAAAACTGAAATCCAAAACAAACTAGTCATCTCATCCAGTCATACGCAAACCAACCACGAATGTAAGTACTCTCACCATCCCAAGTTCATTCCATATAGATAGTTCATGAATCTTCAAGTTCTTGGATCCTTATACTCATCTTACATAAGACATAGAGTTTGACCATTCGTCATGGAAACAATGCCCAACTTGTCTTTATGATATACACGAACAGGTTGCACAACTACTTCTCTCTTCTTTTGGGCAGATGACTAGGCCATTCACCATGGAAACAATGCCTAGTCGCCCCGAGCTGTTTAATATCTAAAGATTTAGTTTTTCTCTAACTTTGTTTTCGAAAGAAATGACAAATATGGGTAAAGACTAAACCATTCACAGTAGAAACAATATTCAGCTTGCCCAGACTATTTTTCATTTATACTTCGTATTTTTCCTTTTTTCTTCTTAATGATATGGCTTAACGCTGGACCATTCACAGTAGAAACAATGCCCAGCTGCGAGTTCACATACAAATATACATAAAGTACTTTCCTTTATACTTAGTTTAAACTATGTGCGTGGTTTTCAGGCTAAACCATTCACCATGGAAACAATGTTTAGCCTTAGACAAAAAATCCTCCCTCAGAATAAACAAGAATTTAAACCCCTTCAATCAGGCAAACCCTCTGAGTTAACTAGGGTAGCCAGACCATTCACAGTAGAAACAATGCCTGGTCCTCCAGAAAAAAACTAAATAAACATAGCAACCAAGCTATTCACAGTAGAAACAATGTCTGGTCCTTAAGAAAACAGCCAAATAAACATAGCCCCGAGCCATTCACAGTAGAAACAATGCTCAGGCTTTGGTTGACCCTTCCAAACGCATGCAAAACTGTCTTCCTCCCACCTTCCCCCAGTTCATCCTTAGTCTACTTCCAGTCAAAACAAAGATGAAACTTAAGTTTCACTCTCACACATTATTTCCATTCAATCTGATTAGGCTTTAGTCTACTTCCAGTCAAAACAAAGATGAAACTTAAGTTTCACTCTCACACATTCTTTCCATTCAATCTGATTAGGCCCTGAAGAGAAAGCAAAAATCATAGGGACAACACATGCATACCGCAATCATACAACAGGGAGATAGGCAAACATGGGTAGTAGTGGGTTATACAGATGAAGTGGTTTACCTGATGGTTCCCTGCCTCCAGACCTCCTCCTGAGTTCCGGCAGAGCTCCCGCAATCGGTGGGTGGACTCCCCACAGAATCTTGACGCGGACCTACGGGTTGCAATCCTGCCTGCCGCCTTCCTCTCAGAACAAGACCAGACTTAGAGTAGGAAGGATAGAGGAAGATGATTTAAGACTCTCAGATACAGGGGGGGTGCTCTCAAGCTCACTAGAGAGGGCCTTGATACCTTCAGTCGCCTGAGGGCCCCAGAATGATGGCCAATGTGACAGCTTGGTCAAACCGGGGTCAACTRCCGAACTCAACCGCCAAAAAATTAATCTCCCAACGATCTCTTAATCCGCAACACTAACCCCCTACTTTGTCCTGCCTCCGTGGCTCCGCAGCCTGTAACAACCTCAAAATGCACTAGCAGTATTTATCGGTGATCAATAGCAACAGCAGTAATTGACCGCCGCTGCAGTCCGCACACAGTCCATTGGCGTAGCAGCAGCAACCTACAGTAGGGGTAAATGGTAGCAGCTCGAGCCCAGTCTACAGCAACAATTTCCAGTGGCGGCCAACGGTAACCGCAGCAGCCATGTAGTATCAAGAGACCCAACACTATCTGTCAGGCTCAACCACGTGGCCCGGCTGTGAATATCTGTGCACAGGCAAATGATCCAGCAACGGCTGTCTGTGCATAGCGGAGTGATGCGGTAGCGACTGTCTGTGCACAACGGAGTGGCAACGAATCAGCCCCAGGTAAGTGCCCTTCGACGTTTTAGTCGCCGCTCCCAACTGTATGAGAGAATCCAGTATCTGAAACATAAGTAGGTACCCGCATGGCTAGCTCACTGCTGCCTTCCGTT